TATTAGTTGGAATCTCGTTGAACATCCCATACTTTAATAATAATTCATATAAAAGAGAATATATGAAGTACATACTGGATCCCAACTTTGGAAGTTTCAGACAATCCCTGCTGTGGAGAGTAGGGAGAAAAAAAGAAAAGAAAAAAAAGAGTAAAAAGAAGAAAACTTCGCCCAACTTTTAATTGTTTTAGACGTAAATATATAAATAAATAAATGTAAAAGAACGTCCAGAATGGTCTAATTTTGTAGATTATGGTAAATGAAAAGTGATTTATGATCCTTTAAGAACTGATTTCAAGTGCCTAGGACATATCGTTTCCGGGTTACAAAGCAACGCGAGTTGAAAGCACGTGCGCCTACTTGTACTTTAAGCTACGAAATTCTGTTGTAGTTTATTAACTTTTTTATGCAGGTCTGAGGGCAGGAATTTCCCATTCGGTTGTACCTCACTTGCAGATCTTTCGTCGATAGTTTCTAATCAGAGGTACAGAACCGTCACATTTCCTTAGATTCAGTATTAGCCTAGGCAATGAACACCTCAAGTAATTCCGTTCAAGTATCAATATTGTTGCAAGTAACGGATAAACGTGTTGTGGCAATTCCTTGCGACTAATATGCAGTCAATATTAACAAGTGAACCTACAAGGTACCAACTAAAAAAACTCCTAGCAATTTCGAACTTATCAAGGCTGGAGAAATGGTTTATTCTCCTACTATCCGGGCATTACATACAATTAATATGGGATTTCACAGTTCAGTCACTATTGCATGAATCTTAAGGTGATTAAATCGCGGGAAGAATTACAGAAATAAAAGCGACTACTTTTTCATGAATTCTCTCAATACCAAAGATAATATTTTTTTAAATATATTGAATACTATAAAACAATTTTTTGTAATGTGTTTCGGTGATTTTTGTAACAAAAACGTTTTTCGTAACGCGATAGAAAAAAATTGTTGAAGGTTACTTTTTAACGATGATGAAAAATTAGAATTGGTTATTACAATTGGTTATGACTTGTCTTATTCACAACTGTTATAACAGTTGCATAAATCAGTGTTTAACCATAGCTCTCTAGTATGCTTAGGCATACTAGCGGACTATGGTTCAACATAAAGGCCATTGTTATCAATTTTGTTAAAGAAAACAAAGCACTACAAAAGATAAACAATAATAAATCTTGGTGGGTATTCAGTAGAAATTTCTTTGTTTTAGAGTTTCGATCGATGCTAAAAAAAGTACAGATAAGTAGGCCCTGTATTGCATAATTTCTTTGCCGCCTGACTAATATAGACTTTCTTTCGGTAAAATTTAATATTTACAGAGTGAAAATGCCGTCACCCCGTGAAAATATATTTATTGACGCGCCAGTTGTTAAGTTTGGTCGGACACGAGAGATCCCAAAATATATTTTAGTATACATTTACTAGTAGTAGATGTGTGCCGCTTATCCTACAACAGAGTAGTATACGTTTATAAAGATGATACTAATCTTAATTTCTTTAAAACCTTTGAAATTATTCTTATTTCGAAAGTCGCAAAAGTAAAATTTTTCTGACCTCCTATTCAACTACATCATTAATGATGATGTTTTCTGAATGAAATTTGTTCTTCATAATTAAATTTTTAATCAACATCATTCAAATTTTAATAAGAATAGGTTCTGCATAATTTTAAATCGTGGCAATTTTAAAACAATACTTAAGTAAACATGG